TGCTGTGACAGATCCATTATGGGTGAGCAGCTTAGCAAAATGAACTTGATCTCAACTGTCCCACAATATAAATTGCACAAGCTCAAGAGGACTTGAGCTTCCAGTTCCCCCCTCCCTTCCTCTGAGGTTAGCAAAAGTGAGTTGGCATCCAAGAGAAGCAGCAGGTCAAGGAACGCCTTATGCACAAGAATAATCACTCTAGGAAAGACCGCCTTGTCACAAACCACATTTACCACACTGTGAAACGACACATTTTCAAACACACATGCTCCCACAGTTGCTTCCTTCTTCTCTAGCTGCAAAAACGAAACGTCAGTGCTGTTACAGACAAAAAGTCAGATATTTGTTTGCATATTCTGATTTCTCAAATTACAACCAAACGTAATAGCACAAGACATTTTTTCCTACCAGGAACTAATGAAAAAACACAAGAAGGATAATGATCTAGAGGTGGTAGCAACATCAGACTTGTAAAATGACATTTCCCCAAGGTATTAACAGTAAGACTTTCGAACTCAATCGATGAGATATACATGTGACATACATGGGCAAGTGAAAGCTAGAGCTTTTAAAAGGTAGTCAATTTTCAAACACAGAAGATTTTGACACAAAGTGAAGTGTTAAGATAACGTTTAAAGGGTACATTAAAATTTTCGATCACACTTATGGGGTTGTTCAGGAAAGGGCATTTCAGCATATCTTTAAGTCTTATGAAGGTCTCAAGAATGGGAGCCGTAGGGTTTGCTGAGCCAGGGCATGAGCCACCAGCCAAACTCAAAGGAGCTTCAAAACAACCACAGTAGCAAGGGGTGGACTGAGAAAAGGGGAATCACATTAGCTCCACTATTCAGGAAGATTTCTCTCACACTGTGATGATTTTATTAGGAAATACGATAATTTACAAGAGAGCCTGGTATTTCTTTACTTTAAAATAACTGCTAGAGCAGACAACAAAGTTTTATAGAAGATCGCTTGCGAATTCAGTATAGTACAAGCTTTGCCACACACATAGACCTGAATGCAGGTACGGAAAAAAGGCGCAACCAAATATGTCCTCCTAGACAAAATGAAGATAGACTAAACTGCAGTAAGTGCCCTCCGTGTATGAAATACAGTTTATTAAAATCTAACGCTGGTTAGTAAAATCTAACCGTGACGTTGCTCCAAATTCCATGTTTAATGCCACAAAATAGAAAGAATAGCAAGGACTACCTCCTGGCTGATGATCAGATAGCTTAGTATGCTGCTCCCCATACTATGCGGACCCTGTGGCGCCCAACCTTAGCCAAGTCCAATGGTAAGTTTCCTGCTTGTGCAACCTAGCCAGCACTGCGTGGCTCGGTCAGGTGGCTAGGATTCCTCAGTTACATCCAAGAGTGAGTCGACATTCATCATATAAATCAAATACTTTCTCACATAGTTGCTTTAAGTCACCTGAGTTATTCAGCGACCGATTCCACTCCCCGTTCACCCCCACATGTTTTAAAGCAGTCAGTCCAGTGTTTACTACAATACAGCTTTTTAAGACCTATGTACCTTGATACTTGCAGGAGTGAGTACACTGGCACCAATGCTAGCTTGGGAGGTTTTTTGAGGGCTTTTGCTTTTCTTAAGCCGACCAAGTCCTCACTAGGAATGATTTTTTTTGGTTTCTTTTGTCTGTTTTTGTTCGTTTTTTTGTTTGGTTTTTTAATCACAAATAATTATATTATTGTCATGAACGCTGATTAGTTCTCCACTCTACTAGCCTATGACTTTTGCACCTTAGTCTCAAAGGCCTGATTATCTTATTCGTACACTTTGCTGAAAGTAAGTGGTCCCAAATTGTCCAGTCTTCCCATAGGAAATGAAAAGAGATAGTAACTTATGGAAAGAATTAGGTGAACTAAGTTTCCATTGTCCAATGGTGACCGTATGAGACTGGATAAAAAATAGGCATTAACATAGACTGCTACACTGCCATGAAACCAAAGGAGTAAAATAATGAGCTCTAAAACAGATGAGCATGAACTAAAAACCAAACAACCCACACATACAACAAAAATAATAAAACAGGCTCCAGTGTCCAATATTTACTACACATATAATTTCAAGTTGTTATTTTTACTGACATCTTTCGGAGCCGCTGCGCATTGCAGTGCACTCTAATAGAAACAACACTGCAAGAACAAGAATAGTCTCATTTTCAGCTCGGTCTCCACTAAAAGTTGAGCTTAGTGTTTTTCAGTTCCAAATTTAGCTCTGTGTGGAACATTATCCAATGTATGGCTGCTGAACCATACATAATGATGTCACGGTAATAAATAATTCTAAGAATCAATTTAAAAGCAAAGTAATATGAGGACTACTTTTTAAAGGTGAGTGTGCTCTGAGGTCTTACACATGTAGTGCATGTTCACGGCACAGGTGTGAACGACATTGGAACTACATGTGGATGATGCTCCGTAATTTTCGCAACACACCAGTTGACAGCATTATTCCTTAACAGAGAAGCAACTTCTCACAAATACCTTCAGCAGATTCTATTCTCTTCTGCCATCCCTAGAGGACCTGTCTGAACCTGACCATTACGGATTCGACTTCATTCCCTTTGTCCTTGTGCTCTGTTCAAGCCATACAACTGGTAATTAAAGCAGAATGAATCAAGATGGGGAGCTGCCATCACAACAGGTAATTAAGCACTAGCAACGACAGAACCCAATCCACCGAGCCAGGGATAATGAAGGATGTTTTTCATTGTGTTTGTTCACTTTCTCACCCCCATCACCTTTTCATTGTAGCTTCTCCATTATAATATCTGCTACTGAGCTCTCACTTTTCTGCTCTTCATTTCTCTCTCAGCCCCATATTTCCAACTTGCTGGAATTTCCTTTCCTGAAACAGTTACCTGTGGGCCTGCTTCCCCTTTTCAGTAAATTGCTGTTCCTCTTGCAACAATAAAAGTCTCTCTATCCCTCTCCCCACATAATGAGCTATATACACGTCAAATCCACTGGCTGACATCTATATTCCTGGTGCGCTTTTAAAACAGTGATTATGTTACCTCAAAAAATTTTAAGTGTGTTCAAGGCTTGAGAGCACTGTGTGTGTATTACAGACTGTATTCTCTCAGTCGTGTGTTTCCAGCTTCAGCCTATCTATACTCCGTTTCCTCAGGATCAGACCTTCCAAAACACTGGACACTTGCGCCTGACACATTTAGGGAAAAATTGATCCTCTTTGCGCAGCCTCTTTTAAGGGAAGATCTATTTATAAAATACCTTGATCTTTTATGCTACAGAAGAGATACTCACAAACACAAGCACACACACAGAGAAGAAAACCTCTACTGAAAATGTGAGCTCATGGAGTGTTCTCCTCTGAGATGAGTCCTTCCCTTTCTGCAAGGAAGGAAAGATCTACAAATTTCTGCAGCACCATTTTTCCTTTTTCTTCTTCCCACAAGTAAGAATGGATTTATCCAATCCATAATGAAAGGCTACACAGCAATGGAAAAAGACATCCATTTGATCCAGTGTTACCAATCACATTTACATAAGATACACATGCAACACCAATTTCCCTCAAGCACTCGTGCAATATGAATGCACCTCCCATTTGAGGCATTCTTGATCAGACCCCATTAAGTGTCTGCCTGTATAATTAATTGCAAGGTATTACACACACACAAACTAATGTTTCATTTTATCTAGGAAAGGATTAGTTTATGAAATATAAATCACAAAGTACTGACGTTTTAGAAACTGCTTAATCTATGTGTGATACATAGGTCTGGATGGTAAACTCTTCTGGTCCTAAAAATATTATCATATGTTTTACCTTCCCTGTCATTACATTTACTGTCACTTCATCATCCCAGCGTTAGTCTGGTGCTACCAGACTACCTTTGCCTTTGTATCAAAATGAACGAAAAATCCAAGTTAAAAAACCGAAACATACCTTGAAAGAAGTGATGGAATTAAAACAGACTGAAAGGAGTTAAACTCTCTCCTACATAGCTTCGTAAAAAGAAAACTCTGAAGTATCAACATTGAAGTTCTAGAAATTTATCATTATGTTCAGACTAGTAGAGAAAGCACTGACGGTTTTTCCTACCTTCATTTTTAGATCCTAACCATAAAAAAGTGAATGTAGACAACAACATATATTGTAAATAGGACTCAAAATCCTACTAGGCATATATATCTTCAGAAAAAGTTACCCTGCAACTTGAAAAATTACATCATTAAGGAGTCTCCTAAACTGGATTCCAGAGATGGGAAACTAACATCTTTATGTCGTTTCCTTTTTTTTTTTACATACTTAGAAATTTCTACTGCAAAAGAAATTTTGTATTTATTTGTTGGATCAACTCTATACCATTAAATAATTAAATACACTTCTCCACAAGGCATCTGTTTTATTGACACAAGCAGTGCAGAACACTCCCATTTGTCTACCTGCTTCTGACTGCCAAAACCCTTCTAGGAATCATTTCCATGGTGGATGTCCCTGTGACAAGGGTTTTCTAGAGCCTCACACTAGCTTAACTGAAATCTTTTCACATTTTCTTCACCATTTCTCTGGAACTGGAGCAGTCTCACATATTTCAGTGTAAGCAAAATTCCTGCTTGGTCACACCACTGTTTCAGGATTATAAGACTAAACCAGTCTATAGATGTACGCCCTAGGTATTGAACAGTTGCCACAAATAATAAAATTCAGCAAAAAACCACAATATAAAACTCTACCCTTACTTTAGTCTCTCTTTTATGCACTAATGACATGCTAGGATACCTTTTTTACAACACTGCCCATCTGACTAAATAGCTGAAAAGAAAACAGTGCCACTAAGTTATTTAGCAATGTTCACCACTAATATACCCAAACACTTATCTATTGTTTTATGAACACGTGGGCTATGCCTCAGTTACACCAGATTTTCTGAAGTCACTTACACTAGCATAATCAATATTTTTCATGTGGTGATAATGTAAAAAGATGTGTCACATTCAACTTACCTATCACATCAGATGTTCACGAGCCACAGTTCTGCCTCAATCTGAAGAAAACTTGACCTGTTGAATATGAAGTAACACATTTTCACTCATGATGAGATCTTGCACTCTTTAGAACAGGCTAACAGGCCACCAATTTTTGCGACAAAGAACCAAAAGCACTTTAGCACTAGAGACAACTTAAGAGTCCCAAAATTTGTTTCCATCTTCTGTTGCAATTCAAATACTTACAGATAACTTAGATTTACCAGTCAGTACCCTATGTCATTTTAATATTTATACAATGTTCACCGTGATACAGCATTTAGTTTTGGGAAGTATCTCAGAGAGATGTACAAAAACCCCTGAAGGCTACTGATTGTTAAAAACTGGTACACACAAATTCTTATGGTGCCCTTTGAACAAATCTGCAAAGACCAGAAAACAAAACATGCTATTCTTCCTTTACTTCTGCTTTTCATCTTTTCTCCTTTCTATATATTTTATCTCTCTCAGAGTAAAGTCAAAAGAAGGGAGGAAAAGAAAGGAAATGGAAAGAAATAGTAAGCAGTGTCGGGGAAATGAGGGGACTCTTTTATGCCAAAAGTACCATTATATCAATTGCATTTTTATATAAGCATCTCTCTGAAAATCGTAGCTGTCAAGTTTTTAGTTTTCTTATACTCACACAACCTAACTGAGATCTTGAACAGTTTTGTTGGAATTTCTTGATCTGTAAAGCAAGGTAAACAAGACTCTTTAGTAGCCTACATTCACTAGAAAGTAGGCAGATGTCAGAGGTGCCCAATACTCATTAATGTATGTAAAATATATTCTAATGTTAATATTATTGAAAAGAAAAGAGGTCAAGCTTAAAGTCTCTACTAGTATGACAGTAATATAACATTAATTTTTATTAGCTAACTTTGAGTTTGAGATGACACAGTACACAATCTTCTGGTGTACAGAACTGTAAGTGTGCTATATTAGTTGCCTCCCAAGTGAAGCACAAAACATGAATTCACCATTACTGACTTAAATTGTTTCACTGACTCCACTTAAGCAGCACAAGAAATCTTGTTTCAGACTAGGCTAAGAAAAAATACGCCAAGTCAGGACCATTTAATCTATGACACCTCATACTGATTTTTTTACGCAATATCTATTTACATGGGCCTTCCTATTTTTCCCTTGGTCACATGAATGTAGGAAACTCCACTGCATCCACTGAGATCAGTAAGCAAAGGCTGAATCCCATTTCTACTCAGTTGAGTGGCAGAACTTCCACTGACTTGATTAGGAGCTGTAGCAGTGCCTGAATGGCAAAAGATATCCTGCATGTCCCTTTTACTTGCCTTGGGCTACAATTATATCCATCAATATTTTAGGATATAAGAGGGAAAAAAAAAGAAAAAAAATTCAGTTATTTGATAGAGTTGAGAGAGGGGATTATTTCCATGTTTTGTTTTGTGGTGAGCCACATTTACACATAGCCAAGTACAAACAAGAAAGTAAAAACTAACACTGTTACATGATGCAAGGAAAAAACCAGCAATCTGCTTTGTATCAGGAAACTTCCTCTGGATTAATACTGTCACACATGCTTGCATGGCATAAAGAGGAAAGAGATGCAGACCATCAAGTTTCTAATATTGCCTGCCAGCAAATTGCCTTGTCACACACACCTTCCATATGAGAGAAGAGTTACACAGCCCTTTGTGCTGATTTGCATCACTTGTTTGCTATTACAAAATATTCCTAGGGAACATTTCAATAATAAAAGAGATTAGCTTCAAGCCAGCTGGACAATGCTCTGCAGCTCAGATTAAATGTATCCACTGCTTTCAAACCAACAAGTCAAAGCTGATCCTCCACCATTGTCATGGGTTTACTTGTTCTAAAAAAAACAAACAGGAATCTTCTTTCCCCTGCTGCATGTGGGGGAGGGATGTTGAATGGAGAGGACAGTTTTCTGCCTTGGGTGATTACCTACACAAAGGAGCTGGCTGGCAGAACTACATTCCAGCCTGATAGGGGCTGAGAGAGGGGGGAGGAGTTTTTTTCCTCTCCTTGCAAATGCAGGGCACTTCACCTTCTGCCTTGACAGAGACAAGGTGGGTATGTGTGTTGGAAAAGCTTTGAGGCGTTTTTCTTTTGACCTGGTCATCTGGCTGCTCTCCGGCCTTGGCTTGCCTGTGTGCTGCCCTGTATCCAGCCCGAATCTGCTCAGATTTCATCGTAGAGTTTGTGCTCACTGACGAACAAAGGGGGAGTCCTGTCTACAGCCAGCTGCAGACAGCGTGAGTTTAGTGGGAAAGAAACTGCCCTTCATTCCCCCTTTTTCCCCTTCCCCTCCTCGGGGTGTGTGTGGGGAAATCTCCATTTTTTTGGCTTCCCCTGCGGTCCGGGGCCCCCAGGTGGCAACCAGAGCCCAACATTGCCCCCCCACCGACCAACTCTGAGCACTGCAGGCTCTGCACCTCCAGTGATCCAACAGCGCTCCTGCCAACCGTGATTAGCATTGCACTAGAGGACAGAGAAGTATCAAACTGTTTCCTTTTTTGAAGGGGACTTTTTGGGTACAGGATTATTGTTTAGTTGTTTTTGTGTTCTTTTGCTGTTCTTGCCTATATACATATATCCTTTAATAAAGGGTTGTTATTGCCTCCTTTTATCCATACTTCATCGATTGGAGCCTCTTAATTTCAGATTTACAATTGCTGAGAGAGAGGAGGTTGGTCTACCTCATAACTCATCCTCCTTAACAAAACACTCCAATCTCCTTAAACTGAGACAACCCCCAACCTTGTGAACTATACTTTCCTTTGATTTACATTTCCTGTGGTTTGAATACCTTTGAAGTAGTATTTGCATTAGGTCCTTGGAAGCAATCAAACCTCTGTCTTTGAAACTATCAGGAGTAGGAAATGAAACTAGCTCCTTTAGTCCACTGCTGTTCTCAGAAGGGTCTCTCTCTACATTCCTCTGAAGGTGCACAATTTCTGTGGACTTTAGTGGGTGGTCCAGGCATTTGAGCAGCCATGACTGAAAAGGGCTTTCACAGCTCTTCCTATGAGGATCTCAAAACATTTAAAAGGCGAGCGGCAGGATAAACACTCACGTATCTACTGAATCTTTATAATCTATTTGCTAAAGTTTGAAGGGAAAAGATTTTTTCTTTAAAACTTTCAGATCCATAATATCTTTAAGAATATTACTCATCATGTTTTCAACCTATAGTGCCTTTACTTGTATTTTTGATTAGAGGAAGGTTTATGTATCAACCTCAGTATAACAGAAATATATTAGCAACCTATTCAAGCATAGATACGTATGTTTATCTAGATAAAAAAAATTACCTTGAAAATTCACACAGTAAGTTTAATACACAACACCTTTCTTCTTTTAATTTCAAATATTGTGTTTCCTCATATAGAGAAATGAAGTACCATTTCCTTTTTTAGATCAAGATGGAGTTCATGACTCAACCTTCTCTTTGCTTCTTTCTTTCAAAAGACCATCACCTTACGGTGCACAACACACAGTTTTGCAATACTAATGAGGGAAAAGGTCCTTGAGTGAATCCTATTAGATGTGCTCTTTACTGTTTTTCTGCAATATGGCTGTTTACAATAGAGAACATTTTATCTTTGGACTAAACTGTCAGAGTAGGAAAACATGCAAGTCACTCAAACCAACATACAATTTCTTCAAAGAGTTAAAGCTTCAAAAAAGAGTTGATTACTCGGTGAGTGATACGAACTATTTGGCATGCAGTGTTATTCTATCTTCCTCTTAAGGTTGTTTTACGTTTACAGCATACGTGTTATTTTATTCTCCCTCAAATGGCAATTTAAAGACCCTCAACTTTAAGTTATTATTCCCTAATGTCTGAGACAAGACACTAACAGCAACAGTTCAGATATCACAGCGCCTCTAAAGACACAGGCTTGGTCAGCCACCGCTCTGGCCCTGTGCAGAGCTTCCCAATAGGCAAGTCATGATGGAATAAGCGGAGCAAAACTAGATGTCCTAGAGAATAAACTGCTACCCTTCATGGAAAGGACAGACAGACAGCAAAGTCATGCAAAGCAAAGACAATGTGGGACTCCTGTGGTGGAGATCACCCCGTCTGTGGCTCTCAGGGGACTGGGCACCTTGGGGAGATGTTGCTAACATGAATTTTAAGAGAAATCCCATGATGCTGCCTCTCTTTTATGCCACCTCATAGGGTCATAAAACCCTGTAATTTAGCAATTCCTGTGTCATAGCTATGAAGCATAAGGAGACAGTAACTCAAAATTGAAACAAAAAACCCAAAACACATGTGGAAAGATGAGCTCTTGATTTAGGTTCTAACTTCAATTTTTTGCACATCATACAAGGCTGCACACCCTACTATAGCGATCAACCAGGACAAATTTTCACACTGATCTGTGTTCTAGCCATGAAATGCTGTAAGCACTAGATAAGGATTAATTCTTTCATCCAGTGCACCAGGAGACCACTGGGAATTTATCTGAACGGAGAGAACTTTAAATAGAAACAAAAAACGGAGTGTTGATTAACATAACTCAGTATTTTCTTTTTAAATGTAATTGAGGAGCTGAAAGTTTGGGGATCTGAGTTATGCACTCCTTGTGCACTCAGAAGATACTGAATGAACACGAGCAGTGTAAGCTTTTCCAAGGCTGTTTCCAGCCGAAGTTCATTATCTATGGACTTCTGGAAAAGAAAACCCAAGCCCACAAACCAAACCAACTACCCAAATGTAAGAGATTGTCTAGTTAGATTGTGTAGATTCGCATAAAGGATACAACACCCCCCCAAAACCTCTCTATCAAACCACTGTCATAATGTTGTAAGACCATTTTACAGTGGAGCCAGTGAAGACTGCTCTATG